AGAGCTTTGGCACCCTCAGCTGTTACCTCATGCGGGCAGGGGCTCCAAGGCTGAGCCCTCCTCCCTGAGCCGCCTCCCCCATAAAGTCGTTGCCTGCACGGCTGCCAAGAACGAACACAGCTGATCTGGGCAGGGAGTGTGGAGTATTCCCAGCAGCGCTGAGTGTTGGCAGAACGCCAGCTCCCTCTGTCCCCCCAGCTCCCCGCTGGCCTCAGCTGGCACTCCTGCCCTGCGTGCTCCCTCAGTGGTGCCCTGCCCATGCTAGCTGAGACACGCCACGGTGCCAGCACTGGGGTCTGCAGTGCCCGGGGCAGGTTCACAGCACAGCAAGAGGGCTGAGGCAGCCGTCTCCTGCTTCTTGTAGTCATGGTTGCCTGAATTCATCCCTGCCATGGTGCTGAGCCTGCTGCAGCAAGCGAGGGAGGGGCGATGCCTTCCCTCCCTAGGGCTGCTGGGGCTGATTCGGCCTCGAGTGCTGCCCTTTTTTGCACCCCAGCAGCCCTTAGAGGTGCTGTGACAATGGAAAACAGCCAGGGCTTAGAGCCACCCCGCCCACTCTAGGCCATGCCTCCTGCATCTGACGAGGAGGGCCCTACCCCAGGGTATTCTGCAGGGGAGTGGGGGCGGCTTTACGCTGGCTTTGCAGTGACTTAGGCTGAAAACGGCCCCTTGATCCTGTGACGCCCATGCTTAATTGGAACTTCACCATGGCAAGAACACTGAGTCACGTCCGAAGTCCAACAGGCCGTTCCCCAGAAGCGAGCAGTCTCTGTTGGAAACCAGGTGAGGAGTGTGCAGTCCTGCCTCCTTGCTCTGGATTGCTCCCCACCCTACTCCCAGACCTAGTCACCCCACTTCCCCCTCACTACACTCTGCATTTCCTGGCCTAGCCCCTTACCTGCTGTGTAACTGAGTCATTGCCCAGCGCTTACTGGAAGAGGAAGCTGCAGGGAAGGCAGAGTGTGTGATGAAGGAAGCTTTGGAGAGGAGAGGGGAGCCAGCAGGCAGAGCTGACCATGTTCCCAAGTCCAGGACCAGTAACGGGAAGCGGCTGCTCTCAGTGACGGTAAATCAGATCGCAGAGATTAGAGGCCTTTCTGCCTAATCACAGGCAGCTCGAAGTTGGAGGACAAGTTACTGGAACAAAGAGGAAATAGAGGCAGTAAATAAAGAGAAACTGTTAACATATGGCCTCTGTGTGTGAAAAACGTCTCTGTGAAGGTCTGTTTATGGCTCAGTCACTCACTTTATGGGGCTGCAAGGCACAGACTGCAGCTGGGTGAAGAGAAAAAGGGAAGGATGGGTGTGGGTGACACAGACAGGTGTGTCTGTATCTACACCAAGGTCCAGATGGTTGTGCAGTGTGCAGGCGGGTATGCTAGGGGTTTGGACAGTAGCAGCAGTGTGTACTTATGCAAGATGGGGTGTATGGCTGTGTAGGGGGGGTACAGCTTTGCAGAGGAGGCTCTGCTGGTGTGTGAGTACAGCTGTACACAGGGGTGCTGGAACAATTTGTATAGTGGGGGTGCTGAGAGCCATTGAACCAAACTGTAAACCCTGGATATGATGGAAACCACTTCAAGTCAGGGATGCGGCAGCACCCCTAGCTCCAGCACCTATGTGCGGGGGCAGGGTGCTTGTGCAGAAAGCCCATTAACGGGAGGAAGGGGTCTGCGCTGTAGGGGGGACAAACTGGGGGCCATGCACCATGCTCCCCCCTCCCCCCCATACTGCTCACGGGAATGGCCCAGATAGCACAAACAGAGGGGGAGGTGGATCCCCTCTTGGGCTTGCTCCCTGGCTGGAGACTGACCAGTACCAGGGCTGTGGAGTGACTCTCTGAAGACAGGTTTCAGAGTAGCAGCCGTGTTAGTCTGTATCCACAAAAAGAAAAGGAGGACTTGTGGCACCTTAGAGACTAACCAATTTATTTGAGCATGAGCTTTCGTGAGCTACAGCTCACTTCCACTGCGTGCACCCGATGAAGTGAGCTGTAGCTCACGAAAGCTTATGCTCAACTAAATTGGTTAGTCTCTAAGGTGCCCCAAGTATTCCTTTTCTTTTCTCTTCTCTGAAGACAGTGCTGGTATAGGCCCAGCTCCACGGGCTGCCCTGACCTGGGGAATGGCCCCATGTGCTATGATAGCATTCGTCCTGCCCTCCTCCCTGGAACCACTGACCCCAAGAGGGCCTGGCAGGGGCCAGGCTCTGGGCTTCCGCAGCAGACATGCTGGGGTTTATTGGATCCTGGTGCTCAGAGCCATATCCGGGACATCTCTCCACATGTCAGGCAGGTTCTGGCACTGAACCTGCCCCCTCCTGGGGGGCTGCTACAGACCTCATGACTGTGACCCAGTAGATACCTGCGGGGAGTGCATGGCTCTCAGCTGTGCTGCTGCACTCAGCCAGCTCACAGGGCTCCCCAGGGACCAACCCCTGGCCCTTTCTGCTCTATGCAGGTTCTTACAGCCGTCCACTGCTCCAGGACACAATCACAGAGCCCCTTGGCGGGCCCAGCTTCTCCTGCCCATCATATAAGCAATGTTTAGTCTGAGTCCCTCCAGTTCCCATCTGGGCACTGCCTCCCCCTTCGGCCCTGGGGGGCCAAGGAGGGAGACCCCATGCACAGAACAGCTGAAGTCCCAGCGCACCGACACAGCCAGCCAAAGTCTTCACTCACTGCAGGCACTCCCCCTCTGCTGCCCTGGGGATGGCACAGCCCCTCTCTCCCTGCCACAGCCCAAGCAAGAGGAGTCAGTTGGGGGATTTCACCGGGGCCTCGGAACCTGTCCTGAGAAATGGCCTTCCTCCCAGTGTGGACCTGTAAAGCATGTGCATGAGCGTGTGCCTGGACACCCGTCAGCATACAGGCCACACAGAGCCATTCTCCTGGCAAGGCTGGGAGTGGGATTGGAACAGAGCGGAAAAGGCTCATGGTGGAGCAGGACACGGCCTTTCTGAGCCATGCACACAGCGACTTTTGTGTGTGCAGCGTGTTGGTTTTGTCAGGGGACCAAGAGTTCTGTAGAGCCTCGGAACAAAGGGGGAGGAGATTTTATATTGATCTCCATACAACCCGTTTACCCACCTGTGCGCCAGCCGTATTGAGCATTAGACTCCAGTGCAGAGGGCTGTAACTGCCAGGCTGGGCTCGGATTCCCAGCAACAAAGGTCACTGCTTTGGTTTCCTGTTAGCAGCTGTAGCAGCGTGACAAGAATAATTACAATTAAATAAATATGTTTCTGTGTGTGCACAGAAAAGGCACAAAGGTTGGATTCAAACTGCCCATCTCCCTGGAGAAGAGTGCCGACCCACAGTATGTGAGGAACATGCCCGCTCTGACCCAGGGATCTCTTCCGGAGCCGGCGAACACCCGGTGGAGGAGTCACCCCCAGAAAGGGACCAGGGGCTGGGGCAATGGAGCCTGAGGGAGCTGCAGATTCAGAGCACCAAGGTGACTGTGAGAGTGCTAGGGAGGAGAACAGCACAAACCAGCCATGTTCAGCCAGAGTGTCCCCTTGGTCATTCCCTTCCTGCAGCAGCCCTGCCATTGCCATAGTGGGGCCAGGATCAGGAGGATCTGAGAGCACAACTGGGACTTCAGCCGGCAGGGGCAGAGGGAGCTTCCCAGAGACAGGGATGGGTTCACTGGGGTCAGGACAGGATAGCAGGGAGGGCACCTGGGAATGAGGGCCCTTACTTGATTTCTTTAGCCACTGGCATAGGGCAGCACTCCCTCCCCTCTCCTCCCCTAGCCAGGTCCCCGGCACCAAACACACATGCAGAACCGGGGCCATGCTGATGGTCTGCAGCCAAGGGGGCCAGAGAAGGAGTTCCCCTCCCTGATGGGGACGGAGCAGGGTGATGGTACCAGACACATGAGTCAGACCCTGCCTCTGTCCCTGCCACAGGTACTCTTACACTTGGCCAGAGAGACTCCTGCAGAGTAATTGTCTTCGGGTGTCAGCAAATGGCATCAAGCAGTCAGTAACATCAGAACATGTCCCCTGGGGACAGTAACCCGCTTGTAAGCCCCACTCCTTGCAGACTTCATCCGCCTCCCACTCCTGCCACGGGCAAACCTCACATGGACAAAGCGTGCCAATGCTGCACTTGGAACTGGGCTGCAGATTCCTGCATCTCCTCACCCATGCTTTGCCCTAGGAGGGCATTGGCTTGCCAAGGGATCAGAGTTAGCCCAGCTCATATCCCTGCCCTTGATTAGCCAGGCAGCCCCACTGCTCCGAGAAACCTGCATCAAAAGAAACACCGGCAGCCCTAACAGCCCAGCGCGTCAGGGGACGCGTCCTCCTGGCAGCGGCTCAGCGACACGCCGCCTTCGAATGCGAGCTCTCTGGGGCAGAGGCCGCTCTCCCCCTGTGTCTGCACGGCCCCTGCCTGGACGGGGCCACCGCTCCGGGACATCACGGGCTGCATTTGGGGCCTGCGGTCAGAGCCGAGCTGCCTCAGGCCTGCTCGAAACCTCACCCGGCTGGCGCCACCTGCCTCCCCAGGCACCTGCATGCCGCGGCGGCCCCCAGGCCTGGCCCAGAGACCCGGGTGGGGCGGGCAGAGCTGCCCCACACGGCCCCGGCCAGTTCTTCAGGAGCCAGTGTGCTTTGGACCCACAACCACACCTAACCATGGACATCCGCTCGCTCCCAGGCTCTGCGCCCGGTGGCTGCCGCCCGGAGCCACCCCCCGGGCTACGAACCGGGGCGCCTGGGCCCCTCGGGCAGCCCCACAGCGGAGGGGCCGGGAGCCCCCAGGTGGGGGGGGGGGCAAAGGGGGGAGAGCCAGCCGGGAGGGCGGGGCGCCCGGCAGACCCCGCCCCCGGCCACGCCCCCTGGGCTCTGGGTTCCAGCCCCGGCCGGGCGGGGGCTGCGGTTCCCAGGATGCCCTGCGGCCGGCACGGGGCGGCGCCGCTGCCGCAAGGCATGCTGGGCCCTGTAGTCCAGCTGGGCGCGGGGGGGGCGATGCTGCGGCTGCTTCGCGTGGGTCGTGCCGCCGGGCGGGGGGGGCGCTCGCCCTGCAAGCCCCCCCCCGCCCCACGGCGCACCGGGGCGACCGGGCCTCCCTGCAAGGGGGGGGCCCGACCCGGCCCGGCCCGGCGCGGCCGATGGGTGCGTGGGGGGGACGGCCCGGGCGCGGCCTGGCCGCAGTGGGGGGAGAAGCCCGGGGGGGGGGGATTAGAGGCTTGGGAGAGGTGGGGGGCGAGGGCGTGGAGGGGGAGAGGCTGGAGGGAGGCGGGGAGGGGGAGAGGCCTGGGGGAGGCCGGGGGGAGAGGAGTACGGGGGGGGGGGGGAGAGGGCAGGGGAGGAGGCCGGGGGGAGAGGAGTGCGGGGGGGGGAGAGGGCAGGGGAGGAGGCCAGGGGGAGAGGAGTGCGGGGGGGGAGAGGGCGGGAGGGGAGGCCGGGGGGAGAGGAGTGGGGGGGGGGAGAGAGGGCAGGGGAGCAGGGGGGAGGCCGGGGGGAGAGGAGTGCGGGGGGGGGAGAGGGCGGGAGGGGAGGCCGGGGGGGAGAGGAGTGGGGGGGGAGAGAGGGCAGGGGAGCAGGGGGGAGGCCGGGGGGGAGAGGAGTGCGGGGGGGGAGAGAGGGCAGGGGAGCAGGGGGAGGCCGGGGGGAGAGGAGTGCGGGGGGGGGGAGAGGGCGGGAGGGGAGGCCGGGGAGAGAGGAGTGGGGGGGGGGAGAGAGGGCAGGGGAGCAGGGGGGAGGCCGGGGGAGAGGAGTGCTGGGGGGGGAGAGGGCAGGGGAGGAGTGCGGGGGAGAGGAGGGTGGGGGGGAGAGGGCAGGGGAGGAGTGCGGGGGGGAGAGGAGTGCGGGGGGGAGAGGGCAGGGGAGGAGTGGGGGGGGAGAGGAGTGCGGGGGGGAGAGGGCAGGGGAGGAGGCCGGGGGGAGAGGAGGCCAGGGAGAGAGGGCAGGGGAGCAGGGGGGAGGCCGGGGGGAGAGGGCAGGGGAGAGGCCGGGGGGAGAGGGCAGGAGAGGCCTGGGGGGGGCAGGGGAGAGGCCGGGGGGAGAGGGGGGGGAGAGGGCAGGGGAGGACAGGGGGAGAGGCCTGGGGGGGCTGGCCCAGCCAGGCCATCACAGACATTGCCTAGCCTGCCCGTTCTTCTCCAAGCTGGTTGTGCTCTCCCACCCCAGCCCCTCGCCGCCGGCCCCGCGCAGCTGGGGGGCCCAGCCCCATGTGGTGGATCTGCGCAGCGACACAGTGACCCGGCCCAGCGCGGAGATGAGACAGGCCATGGCCCAGGCCGAGGTGGGGGATGACGACTATGGGGAGGACCCGACGGTCAATGGTGAGGCCTGGGGGCAGCGCTGTGGTGACCGGGCCCCGGTGGCTGGGACACCCCCACTCAGAGCCAGAGAGTGGGCTGCCCTGGCCCCCCCCGCAGACTCCTGCTCCCACAGACGTGCCCAGCCCCAGGGTGGGGCCAGCCCTCCCCTCTGCAGGTAGCCGGGGTGGGTCACAAGCAGGACAACACAGTGGCAGCAGCTGTGGGGAGCCCAGAGCGGAACCGCACGGAGAGAAGGGGCCGGGGGAGGGCAGGTGTGTAGGGCAAGGGGGCCGAGCATCAGCTTCCAGGAACGGATCCCATGGGGCTGTGAACTCGGGCTCCCCCTCCCGCACACATCAGGTGGGCAGATGCTGCTTCTGCAGGGGCTTCCTGGTACACTTTCGAAGTCTGGTCATGAGCAGAACGAGTGCCCAGCCCCTCCCTTCTCCTGCCAGGGCTGGGGCAGGGACCCACTGAACCCCGAGCAAATCACCTGCCAGGGCAGCAGGGGTCAATGCAGTGGGTCTCGGCCAAGCTGGAGGGCTCCAGGGTGACAGGAACCCCCTGCTCGGTGCCTGTGCTACCCCCACCCCCAAAGGGCACACGGATTCTGTGAGCTGCCCCACTGGTTGCTGCCGTGAGGGGCACATTGCTGGCACGTTCTCTTGTTCGCATGCCGCCCCAAGTGCTAATGACCCCCCCGCGCGCGCCCCTGTGACCCTTTCCATGCAGAGCTGCAGCACGTGGCCGCCCAGCTCCTAGGAACGGAGGAGGCTTTGTTTGTGCCAACGTCGACCATGGCAAACCTCATTGCTGGTGAGTCCCGTGGGGCGGGCAGACCAGCGCAGCGCTGGCTGGCTACGAGCCAGCTGCCGGGCTCTTCCGTAGCACCCCCTGAGCAGCGGCTCGGCAAGTGGCTCTTGGCTGCCGCGGGCCTGGGAAGTGTGTCTCTGCCAAATTAAAGCTTCAGCCCCAGCCTCTCCCAGCAGGGGGTGCCGTGGGGAACAGGGAGCGCTGACTGTGGGGGGAGCCCCCAGCTACTCCCGCCCCAGCCTGTCCCAGCAGGGGGTGCTGTGGGGGGCAGGGCAGGAGCACTGATGGTGGGGGGGAGCCCCCAGCTACTCCCAGCCCAGCCTGTCCCAGCAGGGGGTGCCGTGGGGAACAGGGAGCGCTGACTGTGGGGGGAGCCCCCAGCTATTCCTGTCCCAGCAGGGGATGCTGTGGGGAACAGGGAGCGCTGACTGTGGGGGGAGCCCCTTGCTAATCCCAGCCCAGCCTGTCCCAGCAGGGGGTGCCGTGGGGAACAGGGAGCGCTGACTGTGGGGGGAGCCCCCAGCTATTCCTGTCCCAGCAGGGGGTGCTGTGGGGGGCAGGGCAGGAGCTCTGACCGGGTGGGGGGGGAGCCCCCAGCTAATCCCGTCCCAGCAGGGGGTGCTGTGGGGAGCTGGGCAGGAGCACTGATGGTAGGGGGGAGTTCACGGCTAATCCCTCTGCAGCAGGGGGTGCTGTGGGGGGCAGGGCTGGAGTGCTGACTGTGGGGGGAGCCCCCAGCTACTCCCGCCTCAGCCTGTCCCAGCAGGGAGTGTTGTGGGGGGCAGGGCAGGAGCACTGACGGTGGCGAGGAAGCTCACAGCTAATCCCACCCCAGCCTTGTCCCAGCACGGGGTGCTGTGGGGGGCAGGGCAGGAGCACTGACTGGGGGGTGGGGGGAAGCTGCCAGCTAATCCCACCCCAGCCAGTTGCAGCAGGGGCTGCTGTGGCAAGCACCAGTTGTTCAGGGGCAGCCGGGACTGTTTCAAGTGCCCCTGTGGTTGAGCCATGGGGTGGCCAGTCCCTGGCCCCAGGGGCTCAGTCGGCAGCTGGCTTTTGTGGCAGCTGCTCCCCAGGAGACAGGGAGGCACACGGCACATCTTGGTGAAGGGGAATGCCAAAGCAGCCCCTGCTGGGCCCACAATCTGCCTGTCTGTGGGGCCAGAGCCCTGCTGCTTTGTGCCCCACACGGCTCGGCCCCGTGGAACTGCTCCTGACGTGCTTCCCCCAGTCTGTCTACCAAGGCCCCACCCATCCCCCTCCTGTCCCCCTTCACTGCCCTCTCTTGTCCCAGTGATGTGCCATTGCCAGCGAAGGGGGGCTCAGCTGCTCGTCGGGAGGGAGGCCCATCTGCACGTCTTCGAACAGGGAGGGGTTGCTCAGGTATGCGGTGCACTTGGGCCTGGCTTGGGCACCCTCCCCTGGCTAAGGAAACCGCAGGGCGCTGCCCTGTCGCCTCAGGGCAGCTTTGGATGGTCTGGAATGGGTGGGTCAGATTCTGATCCCGTTTGGGATTCCCGGGTGGGGAGCGCTGCCCCAAACCCTCCCGGCATGGAGGGAAGGGCCAAGGGATGCACGAGGAGCATCCCCCACCTCTGCATGGTCCCAGCTGGGGAGAGTCTTGTACGCTCACTGCCTGGGCAGGGCCGTGCACACACACTGTGTCTGTCGTGAGCAGGGGAGCAGAGCGGGGTCAGAACCCCAGCAGGGCCTGAATCTCAGAAACAAATCCCCATGTGGCTGCTGTCCCAGTGTCTGCATGTGCGCGGATGGCCTGGTGTGGGGCCAGAGGCTTTGCCCCTGCCCCATCGCTCTAACATGGAGGGGGGCAGGTGTCTCTAGTGGAGGGGGTGTGGGACGGGGCCACAGGGGGGCAGCACTGGGCCAAGTTCTCAGGCAGGTCACAGTAGGACTGTGAATCCTGGCCAGCTGCTGCCCCCCTGTGGCCACTCGCAGCAGCAACCGTGGGGGAAAGAATGCCCTGCCAGGCTTTGCCCGAGGAGCTCTGTGTTCCTCCGCCCCGGGGTGCCCGGCTGTCCCCTGCCCCACCCCCTCGGCCTCTGGTGCTTCAGGCCTCTACCAAGGCTCCGGCTTTTCTTGGCTTGCTGTTAAATGAGCGGTCATGGGGCTGGTTCTGTGCAAACCCAGGGCTCAACCCCTCACTCGGGTGATGTGCTCAGCAGCCGCAGGCCATGGCAGAAGGCCACACTGCGGGTAGCATCAGGGTGCAAGGGCTGAGCACAGGAGTCCCGGGAACACCCTGGGCTGGGAGAGATCGGGGAGGTGTGGGATGGAGATGTAGTGGGGGTAGGATAGGTTTGGAGCAGGGGTGGGGCGGGGACACCTTGGAGTTATATGTGGAAGTGAGCCATGGTCAGATGTTTCTTTCCCACTCTGGTGAACATGGCTCGCTGGGACAGAGCGTGGCTTTGGGTGCCCTCGGGCCTGCCCACACTCACCATGCTGTCCCGGGCATAGGTAGCTGGGGTCCATTCCCAGGTGCTGCAGAATCTGCCAGATGGCACCTTGGACCTCGACGAGCTGGAGTCGACAGTCCGTGCGGGTTATGGCAGCCGGTACCACCCTCGCTCAGTGCTCATCTGCCTGGAGAACACCCACAACTCTGCAGGGGGCCGGGTGCTCCCCCTTGCCTACCTCAGGGAGGTGCGTCTCGCAGTCCACGAGTGCGCTGTTCTCAGCGCAGCCCGTCCCGCTGCCTGGCTCCTGGAGCTGGCATGAGAAGCTTCCTGTGGGGCGGCACCACCGGCCCTGGCCTCAGCCCCAAGGCGCCGTCTGGGGCTCCTGGTCTGGTGGTTCAAGAGCCAACTCCTGCCCCGCCTGCTAACTCGGAGCAGCTGGGCCAACTGCCCTCTGTGCCCTGTATCACAGGGGTGCGCTGGCTGGAGGATGCAGCCACCCACGTGTGCTCGGCCCCAAAGGCAGGGCCTTATCTGAGACTGAGTGGCTGGGCTGGGTGTCGAGGGCAGGGTGGGGCAGCAGGCTACACAAAGCCACAGCCTTGCCATGGGCCCTGAGTCCAGCCTCTGGCAGCTCTCTGGGGCTCCGCATCCAGCTGCTTCCACTGGCCCCGGCCTCACCACGTTCTCCTCTCCAGGTGCGCCTGCTTGCTGACCGCTACAGGCTGCATATCCACATGGACGGGGCACGGCTGATGAATGCAGCTGTGGCCCAAGGCGTCGCCCCGGCTCAGATCACCCAGCACTGCGACTCCGTCTCCCTCTGCTTCTCCAAGGTGTGTCCGGAGACAGGGGGTGCAGGGAAGATGACGCACCACGGAGCAGGTCCCCAGGGCCAGCTGGGAGGGGCATGAGACAGCTCCAGGGGGAGCCCACTCTGGGACAGGCAGCAGATACCCAGGAGTCAGGGTGGGAGGCCCCTTTGGGGCACGGGGTGGTTCCCTTGGGGGCCAGCTCTGACTTCCTCTCTTGGCAGTGCAGGGGCTGGGTGCCCCGGCCGGAGCACTGGTTGCTGGTTGCAGAGAGTTCGTGGCAGAGGCCTGGCGCATGCGGAAGCTGCTTGGTGGAGGGATGCGCCAGGCAGGGGTGCTGGCGGCAGCTGCCCGCGTAGGGCTGGAGCGCATGGAGGAGACGCTGCAGAGAGACCACGGCAACGCCCGCAGCTTCGCCCAAGGTGCCGGCAGGTGCCCTGCTCCAGAAGCGAGGCCAAGGGCTTTGTGCCTATGGGTGGGGGAGGGGATAGGCTGGACCCTGCTGGGCAGGAGCCCAGGACACATTGCCCCTGGCTCGGGGAAGCTGAGGTTGGCCCAGTTCAGTCAGGGATAACCCTGGTGTCCTGGCCCCATCCTCCTCTTTGTCCCTCAGCACGTGCCTGGCTCAGGCCTGGGAGCTCAGCTTGGGCACAGAAAGGCTGTGGGGTTTGCCTGCCCTGGGAGGGTAAGGGATCCAGCTAGGGGCTCCCAGGAGGGTCAAAAGGGGAACCTGGTGCCTTCCCTGCAGCTCCCCCGGCCCCATCTCCTGTGAGCAGAGGAGGGATGGGCCCCTCACTGTTTTACCCCAGGGCCTGCAGAATCCCTCTGCGCCATGGGGGGCAAGCCTGGCGCTCGTTCAGGCACAGCCTAACAGCATGTGTCCTTCACCCCCAGGCGTCTGGGAGCTTGGCTCGCCCATCTGCTCCGTCGACCCCTCGGCCGTGGAGACCAACATGGTGCTGGTGACGGTGGCTGTGCCCTGGCTGTCCCCTGAGGAGCTGTGTGAGCGCATGCAGGCGGTGAGCGAGGAGGAGGTGGCTGAGACAGGGCGTGCTGTCAGCGTGCGGCTGTTCCCATGGGCCGCGCGCTCCCTGCGGGCCGTCTGGCACTGTGACGTCTCCGCACAGGACACCCAGCTGGCAGCCAACAAGCTGAAATTTGTGGCCGAGCAGTGCAGGCGGGAGCGAGGTGCTGCACCCTAGAGAGGGCAGGAGGGGTGCACCCAGGCCAGACAGGAGACTGTCCCCGCCTCTGCCCTTCGGAGCCCAGGGCTGCCAAGCAAGGATCGAACATCCCAGCGCGAGCTGGGGGCCCAGCCTGCCCAGCAGGATGCCACTGGCTGGCCACCCACATGGGAACCACAGCCACTTGGCCCACATGGCCGGCTCCAGCCACAGTGCAGCGGAGTCGGGGCTTGCCTGTCTGGGCCAGCCCCACTCGGGGAATGGAGCCAGCCAGGGCCATGGCAGTGGGAGTTAAACGGGGCATGGCCCTAGTGGTTGCATTACCCAGCCCGATGACTGAGCCATGCTGGGCTGCACTGCCCCTGAGCCTCCTGCTCACCTGTCTACACTTCACCGGCCCAGCCAGAAGCTGCTCACTGCTCCAAACACAGGAGCAGGCCTTCCCCACGCTGCCAGAGACGTCTGTGGATGCAGTGCTGCTGCCAGCTGAAACAGGGCCTTGGCCCCTCTTCCCACAGTGCCTCTGGAGGTATCCCACAATCTAGGGTGACAGCTTCCCAGGGGCCTGGGGGCAAGGCCGGGAGTCGCGGATCCCTGCCCATAGGGATGTGCGCCATGGGCCCTGCACACAGGGCAGCGTGACCAACAGCTCTAGGATTCCTGGGTGCCCGCTACACCCAGGGAACGTGTGAGGACCTACGCCCTGGAGCCTGGCAGCTGGGCTCCAGGCTCTGGAGTCTGCTGTAGAGGATGCAGGGCTGGAAGCGCTGGTGCAGCGTGCTTTGCTCAGTGCCTTTGCTGGCGCGGCAGGTTTGCACCCGTTGGTTGCTGGAGCTGACAGCCAGTCCCCTCAGCTGCCAGCTGGGCAGCTTCCTTCAGGCACTGAATCCCGCTGTGCTTCCTGGGCGCACGTGACCCCATGCCCCCGGATCTGCAGCCTGCCTGTGGGCTCTGGCTGGAGTTTAAGGTGTTGGTTGTGACCCACAAGCCCTAAGCGGCCCGCCTGAGGGATTGACCCTGCCCATGCGGTGCTGCCACAGCTGGGTCCCAGTGATACGGGGGGGGCAGGGCATTCTCCATGCGGGTACTGAGCCCCTGGAACGTGCTATGGAGCAGCCCACCGGGGGCCATGCTGAGAGAGCCCTGGTGTAAGGGGGCAGGGCTGGGGCACCCCACGATGGAGTCTCTGCAGTTCTTGGTTGAACGCTCCCTTTCCTGGGGCTGGCTGCAGTTGTGGGTTGATGTGGGGGCGCCTGGAGCCTTGGAGAGGCTGCTCTACTTCCCTGTGGCTAAATAAAGAGCAAGCTCCTGGCCTGGCTTAGGGGTTTGTCTGCTAAGGCTGTATTAGTGCAGGGCTCCAGCTGGTCAGGAGCGCACTGCACCATGGCTGCCAAAATTCAGTTTCTTCAGCAAGAGGCACCGCTGCGCCGCAGCCGGATGGGGCATACGGAGAGGGGTTCCGGGTGCTGCTCAGCCCTGCTCCTTCCCAGGCCGGGAGATCCAGCCCCTGGGGCCAAGGCAGTGCTGCAGCAGCCCTTGTGTTAGGATATAGATATTCAGGCCTGTCTATAAAGGCCTATACTTTAAGAATTTAGGTGTATTCTTATCACTTGGCTAGTTAGAGGTATAAAAGAAAGAATCAAAATCACTGTCTGCCAGTGTAAGGGCCTTTTCTTACTGTGACAGTCTGAGGCCCTGTGCTTAGGCTAAGGCCTTTGGCTAAGCAGCAGAGGCAGCCATAAGCTGGGAAGCGACAGGTCACATCCTCACATTCCAAACTAGTCACATTGAAAGAAGGTGCTATTGGGCTGTTAGGAATACAATCCTGTCCTGAATACAATCCTGTCCTGATAATGCCTATCACCTCCAGAGAAAGGGAGTGCCTAGAGAATGTAAAAGGAAACAGCATCCTGTCTGGCAAGAACTCACTTATCAGTACTGGGATGTGAAATCCTCACTCCTGTATTGTTTTGTCATTATAGTTCCCACTTTGTTATTGTTTGTCTGTATAATCTCTGTCTGGTTCTGTGATTGTTTCTGTCTGCTGTATAATTAATTTTGCTGGGTGTAATCTAATTAAGGTGGTGGGATATAATTGGTTAGCTGATCATGTTACAATATGTTAGGATTGGTTAGTTAAATTTTAGTAGAATGATTGGTTAAGGTATAGCTAAAAGAAAAGGAGTACTTGTGGCACCTTAGAGACTAACCAATTTATTTGAGCATGAGCTTTCGTGAGCTACAGCTCACTTCATCAGATGTGATGAAGTGAGCTGTAGCTCACGAAAGCTCATGCTCAAATAAATTGGTTAGTCTCTAAGGTGCCACAAGTACTCCTTTTCTTTTTGCGAATACGGACTAACACGGCTGTTCCTCTGAAACCTGTCGGTATAGCTAAGAATATTACTATATAAATTAGGGACAAACAGGAAGTAAGTTGGGATTCGAAAATAAGGAAAAAGGAACTTGTATTTAGCTTGCTGGAAGTTCACCCCAATAAACATCGAATTGTTTGCACCTTCGGACTTCGGGTATTGTTGCTCTCTGTTCATGCGAGAAGAACCAGGGAAGTGGGAGAGTGAAGGAATAAGCTCTCTAACACCTTGCGGCAGAGGGGTGGCTGCAAGGCCGTGCAGGCAGAGGCCGGGCCTCCAGTTCTCTCAGCCCCCAGGGGTTGTGGTAGCCTGGGGCCTGGGAGGGGTGGGAGGCTCTGGGGACAGACAGGTGCTAGCTATGGAATCAGAGAGGAACCTTTTATTGGGACATGCTGGGCAGAGGACAGGAGGCCAGATGCTCTGGCAGTGGGAGGGCGGCTGAAGCAGTGGCAGCCCCGGCAGCAGGGGGCTGTGGCAGGCTGCAAGCAGAGGAGCCTCAGGCTGGGGCTGACTGCCCCTTGGCCCTGCTTCCTTCACCCCAGGCTTGGCCCTGCTGTGACGGGTGCTCTGTTGTCCAGGTCTTCCACGAGCCATGGCTGAGCATGGTGCAGCGGCCCTGTGCTCTCACCTTGTCTCCATCATTCTCCCTGCAGCTGCCTGGCTCTGTGTGGGGAGGGTGTAGGCCCCCTCTAACAGGCTGGCCTCCATCGTAGCCAGGGTCCATTGGATCGAGGGGAGCTGGCCGCCAGGTCCATCCCCAAGTCACTGGCTCAGCCCCAAGAACTCAGGGAATCCAGGCTGTAGCCAGCAGCACCAGGGGGTGGAGAGTCAGTCTGGGCCTGCTGCTGTGGGGCTTTAGCCTCTGCCCCCTACCCACTACCCTCCCAGCAGCAGGGACTGCAATGCAGGGGGCCTGCAGCTGGGTGTGTGGGGCACGGGGTGGCAGAAAGGTCAGTCCCAAAGAAGCTGCAGATGGCGGAGCGCTGGGGTGTCCCTGCCTGTTTCCCTGCGGCTCAGATGGCCACGGAGCGTGTGGCTTGCTGCAGGCTGAGGAGCCGGGCAGCGAGGAGGAGGAGGGAGCCGGCCAGCACCTCAGTGCTGAAGGAGAGCCAGGCCAGTGCCATGGACCAGCCAAAGCTGATGCGGACGTGGTCAAAGTCCTGCTGGTTGTATATGCGGACGGTCTCGGCGAAGGCCGCCCCAGAGTAGCTGATGTAGACGCTGATCCCCGACAGTGTCAGCAGGCCTGCGAGAGGCAGAGAAGGCAGGGCTCGGTGCTGGCCTGGGGCCCTGGCCAGGTCCACCACAGCTGCGATTGGGCCAGTCTGGTGCCATGGCAGCAGCACACCTGGGAACGGTTTTGGTGGCCTCACGGTGCAGCCCCCGACGCTCCCTGGTGGCCACTCTGACCATTGTCCAAGCCCAAGCCCTGCCACCCTCAGGAAGGTGGACAGGGAACTCACCAGCTGCCTGGGAGTTCCAGGTTCCTTTGGCACCCCGCACATCCAGCCCCACATCTCCAGAGGCGCTGCCCAGAGCTCCCGGGGAGGCTGTGTGGTGCAGGGCACTGATCCCTGCTGGCAGTGCCAGCAAGCACCAAGGCGGCGCATCCAGGAGCAACAGCTGGCGGCTGCTGCTTTGCCCCCACCTTGCCCCCATCTCTGCCCAGGAGACTCTCGTGTCTGCAGAAAAGTCTGCTGGTGGCTGCATCTGAGAAATGCTGGCTGAGACCCTCCTGACCTGAGTGCTGCCCCCCGGCACACGCTGCAGCCCTCCTAGGATTGCAGCCAGCCGCCTGCCTAGAGGCTGCAGGTACCCCACTCTGACCCCTTCGCATGGGTCTCCGTGCGCCTGGAAGCACTGGTAGGTCTCCCCCAATGCACTGGGAGGGAACCCCAGAGCAGCTCAGCTTTCTGCAGCACAATGAGCCACGGGATACGTGCCTGGACGTTCTGGGGACCCCACAGGGGCGCATGGGACCAGCGAGGCCGCAGCACCTTGCACATGGCTTTGCAGTGCAGCTGCTGCCAGCCAGGCTCAGCGAAGCTGGGGGCTCAGCCGAGGTGACTGCATGATGGAGCCTCTGTTCCTGTCTGCACTGGGGGGAGCCCTGCCCTGCTGCGGAGGGAGCAACCCCCCGTAACAGACTGGTGCAGCTACCCCAGCGATGGGGGCAGACGCGTGCTGGTGAACGAACAAGAGGAGTCATTGCCCTGTGTAGATGCGAGACAGAGTGAGTGACAGGGTAATTACTGAGCCTTCCAGCTGGGAGACAGCTGGGGGGGCCCAAACAGCCCAGCTCCAGAACGCCTGGCTCCGCTGAGTATGGTGCCTGGGTAGCTGTTTGCCTCTCCCCTCGATGCCACGTGATGAGCTCTCCCATGGTGCAGTCACACCCAAGGGGTGGGGATGCCTGGGGCAGCCACACGGCCTGGCCCTGTGATCACAAGCTCCAGAGACCAGCCCGGGACTGGGAAGAGCTGAGGTGGGATTCAAAAGGCCCAGTGAGGGAATGCAGCTGGCACGCCTCCCATGGCAAAGAACCGGGCCATGGGGCGAATCTCTAATAATGCTCAAAGGGGCACCTAAGTTGCTCCTCTCTGGCCACTTGTCAGCAAATCAGTCACAGCTGAGCTGGTAACAAATGGGAGAGATTCCCTGGCCGTCCCCAGGGCGCCCCCCCCCCCACACACACGGTCACCCCTGGCCCCAGATGAGGTTCAGGGTCAGGCAGGAATTGGTACGAAGCACATCTGTTGAGCGACAGGGAGCTCAGCAAAGGGAAGTGGGAGATATCTGGCTTCCGGGGGTTACAGTGAGACTCTGCACCTACAGTAGAGAGTCACCCCAGGCTCTGGCGTGGCCCAGAGGGGCAGCTCCCCAGCCCAGTAGCCCCCCCCCACCTTGCCAGCAGTCCTGGCTGCTCCCGGCACAGCACCCCCGAAGGAGAAGAAAGAAGGGGGTGGGGAGATTTCCCAGCAGAGGAACCGCAGCTTTACAGAGCTCCCTGCACTGGGGTCCTGATGGGGTCCAGTCCCTAGAGAGCGCAGAGCAGCCAGGCCCAGGGAGAGCTGCCCCCACGCTGGTCACGTGGCTGGGAGCAGCCACAGAGGGTGGCTTAGCACCATGCCTCTGGTACCAAGCGTGCAATCTCGCGCCCAGCCCTGACCCCAGCACTCTCGCCTGACGCTGCTCACGGCGCGGCCCTGGGTTGCATACCTGGCACGTTACGGCCCTCAAAGCAAAAAGCTTCCCGGTTATTCACTCTCCTTTGGCCACAAAGGGGCCGGGACCAGTGCAGAATCCTGCCTGCCCCGCAGCCGGCCGGCAGCGCTGAAACGCAGCCAGTGGGGAGCAGGCCTGGCCAGGACAGTCGCCCCCCAGCCAGCCTGGAGCGAGACAGGGCTCTGGGCACGGCACATGGGGTGAGGGAGAGACCAAGGACAGGCAGGGAGGCACAGATATCCCAGGCCAGGGCCAAAGAGAGTAGCTACTGGTGAGGGGGTGAAGAGGCCAGCCCTGCCCCAAGGGGATGAGACAGGCAGTGCCAGGCTCTCCGCCTGCATCAGGCTCCCTCGGTCTCCATCCCCCCAGTGCCAGGGCAACAGAGCACCAGGCGGTCTGTCTCTGCGTGTCCCCCCAGGCGAGGCTCAGCAGGGAAAGGGGGGTCCCAGCCCCAAACCCCCACCTTCCCCTCAGCCAGCAGGTGCCCCTCCCTCGCCTGCCATGACGCAGATGCGAGGATGGGTCCAAGGGACAATTCAAATCACAGTCCAAAAATGTGCTTAATTTAGAGGCTGGGCAGCAGCTCCCTGAGAGAGCCGGGGGCAGGACTGGGCAGCCCAGAGCTCATCCCCAACTACTGGCAGAGAACCCGGCAGCTGGCCCTAGCCCCACACTGGCCCCACCGGTGTCGCTTAGCCCTGATAGGCATGAGTGCGA